CGCTTATTCGCGGATCTTTGTTAATTAAAATCTCAGTAACTATTGCAAATCTAGCAAAATGGTATAAGACTTTTTGACTCAGTTTTACTCCTTCTACCTGCCTACGAGAGATTGTACGGCCATTCTGGGACACCCTGTATATAGAATACAATTTGACTAAAGCACGGATTTAAGATTAAACTTTTTAAAAAATTTTTCTTGTGCAAAATTTTTTTTTATGTATTCACTACACTTTTTTCCAAAACTAAGTTTTTTTTAAACAATGTAATATCCAATTCCAGGGCTCAAAGAATTAATAAAATTCTACATCTTTTCTAAAATAGGTAGGTTTATCACATACACAATGTAAGTTTACACTTACCGACACAATGAAAAAATCTTGATGTAGTATAGAAACAATTCCAAAATTGGTAAATTTGAATACTCTATCCATTATCCACATTAAATTGGGTAGGACATTTGGTTTAGCATTAAATGTTGTCATTAATACAGGAACATCACCAGTGCTCTGATGATTTGCTATTACTAATGTTTTCTCACTTATAATCTTCTGGATGTCATCACCTTGCTCTATTACTGTTGATCAAAATAAAAATTATGAAATAAAGCATTTTCCTCTTTTTTAGAAATCCAAGCAATCTTTATTCTTTTCAAGTTTTTAGAGGCACACTTATCATCGTGATTGAGATATTGACAGAATATTAATTACTATTTAAAATTAATATTTGAATTATACACTTGTGATAAAAATAGATAGATATAAATTTTTTTTTTTGTATACATTTAACATATATACATGTGTAAATGTAATGCAAGTAAATAAAAATACAAGAAAACCTTTATTGTTGTAAAAAGTACATTAATATGTCCATATTTTTCTTTCAATATATGCTTTATATTTTATACTTACTGTCGTAACCTGCTGACCAAGTCCACATTGATACCATAGCCAACAACCAGTGAAAAAATAGGCCTTCGATTCGCCAATATACTTGAGGCTGATATACTTTTACAGGAAACAATAACATCATCCATAACACATATGTAGGTATGCAATATATATTGTTTAATATCACAAATGCTGTCCGAGCTATACATTTCAGTAAAGTCACAGTATAGTAACTTATCCTGTAATATATACTAAGTTATTAAAACATTTATTGCTACTTTTCTCAAATATCGTTTTACTTATTAACTCAATATAACATGTTATTAACATTACATATTAAAAACTAAAACATAATTTGATGTTTTAAAAAATAATTAAAGCAATTCACCAAGCATAAAAAATGATGTTGACACACACACAGATTGTTGCATTTGAATAACAGACTTATGATAAAAACATTAGTCTAATATAACATATAATGAGCAATAAAGATAAAATGACATACTTAGCACTAAATCTACTAAATAATAAGGTCATAAATAAAATGTAATATTTATGTCAATATACACACATGTGTATGCAATATATACATTTCTTTACAAGAGTCAAATTAATAGGCCACTACAACATCAAACACACATTTCCCTTCTATTCTATGCTTTTAAACTCATAAAATATAGTTTTCGCATAATGCCATAGCTGATCAAATTTCTCTATTCTCTTTATGTTTCAACAACGATATTAAACGTCATAGTTCATTGAGTACATGAAAAACTATAATACCGCGAGATCACATCTTTTCTATATAAAGAGAGAGAGAGAGAGAGAGAGAGACAGAGAGTAAGGTTAAGTACACATTACTGCACACAAATACAAACTCTTCGCTTTCGCACAACCGATATCAGAATTTATTGTTGAACAACACAAAATTAAGATTGCGCGAACATTATACTTATAAAAACAAAAACATAATCGGATAATTTCTTGATCTTTACCTGATGAGAGTAGAGGCGGCAGAAGAGGTAGAGTCAGTCATTTTTGAGAGCCACCATCCGTTACAAAATACCAACAATATTTTATCCGCATTTCCTCACCATAGCAGCCGTTCACGTGCACCTTATGTAATAAGGAATCATTATTCCGCGATGACACACAGGTATCTCTTAGAGTTTGCGAATTGTTTACACGTTAATACTACTCGCAACGCGCCGACACAGACATCTGTGAGGAAATCGATGATTGTGTTCGATTTTCCGTATTTCTCCGTTATGACCGAATCGGCATTTCGTGTGTTCCACGTTGACTGTACACGCAAAACATGCGAAACAACTTTTGCCTACAATTTTCGTATTCTCTCTTTCTCTTTCTACTACTGATTAAATTTTAATTGTGTAATTCTATATTCTGTAGAAGTAGAAATGTGATATCGTTCATCTCACTTGCTTTTTTTTGTTGCAATTTCTCACCACACAGTACACATACGCATAATCACTCCGCTTAAAGAGCCGTCTACAATGGAGAGTTGTAGGCCGTAATAGTAAGGCCTGTTCTACAATACAGTCGTAAGTTGTAAGTCGTAAAAAATTGACCAATCACAGAAAAATCACAGAAGAATAATCGATTGTGATTGGTCAATTTCTTACGACTTACGGCTTACGACTGTATTGTAGAACAGGCCTAAGAAATCGACCAATCACAGACAAAGTACAGAAGAATAATCGATTGTGATTTGTCAATTTCTTACTGTTACGGCCTACAACTCTTCATTGTAGACGGCTCTTTATGTGTGATGGCCTTTAAGGGTCGTCTACAATGGAGAGTTTTAGACTGTAACAGTAAGAAACTGACAAATCACAATCGATTATTCTTCTGTACTTTGCCTGTGATTGGTCAATTTCTTACTATACAACTTACTAAACAACTCTCCATTGTAGACGGCTCTTTATGTGTGATGGCCTTTAGAGCGCGTTGGGGCATGCGACGCGAACAAACCTTTACCAGAGAGAAGCCTGAAGCCTATGTCACACTACGGATTAGGATTGAGATTGGATTGCAATTTGGCCAATCAGAGAGAAGATCACTAAACTTAGGATTGGTTTTCTTTTTTCTAATTGGTCAAATTTCAATCTAATCTCAATCCCAATCCGTAGTGTGACATAGGCTTCATCACAGGCTTCTCTCTGGTGATAGTGAAAGGTGATAGCATAGACTTGTGAGATGATTGGTCCCCCACCGCTCTTATTGTAACGGCCGATTTCTTCATACCTCTCGATAGCTATCCTCTGGATAAATTCCTCTGCGAGGAACCAATAAGGAGAACCAATTTTGGGAGATATCTTCTAGATAAAGTTATCGAAAACTTATCTAGAAGTGAAAAAATTGGCTGTAAGTAGCGGCGGGGCAGTATCCTCACTTTGACTGCTTTTCCTTCCCTATGCGCGAGTAAGTGTCCTATTCTCTCATTGAATCGAGTATAGAATGACGCTCGTGCGTATACGAATGGTGTTTCCGAATGTGGATTTGACAGCTAATGTTTGTGGAGTGGGAAGAATTTTTGGTACACATATACTTGTGATAATGCGTTTTTTTTTATACGCGCTATATGCTTGAGCGCACATCTCAACTTACTATAAATTATCAAAATTAATTTTTTTAATTTGAAAGTTGAGTAACGGGCTTTTCGAACCAGTTGCAGGGTGTGTTTTTGCATTAAAAATCCAATGAATTATTATTAATCCAAACGTTGCGACTTTATTAGTTCAAGTCATCTTCAGTGGTTTGTAATATTTACATTTTTCTAATATGACGATATTATAGGTCGATGTGTTGACAAGAGCATGTATTTACTTTAGCGTTATCGTCAAGACTTTTTGTTTTTTTTATTAAAAATTTAAAAATTATTTTTTTTATTTGCTCAAAGATACTTGAGTTATTGTATATATTAAATTTGGTATACAAAAAACCTAATCAATTTTCGGACTAATTAGTTTTTTGGTGTGAAATGAATAAGTACATCTTCAGCTGGACGATAAATAAGAGAACCGCCGTTACGAATTGTTTCGTGTGTTTTCACGCTTTTTACTCTCCATTTTCTGAGGATAGACGATAGCACAACCTTCTCTTCGAGTAAAGCAAATCTCTGACCGATACAGTTTCTCGGTCCAGCACTGAACGGAACGTAGGCGTATGGATTCCTGTTTTTCGAGTTTTCCGGAAGGAATCGATCCGGATCGAATTTGAGAGGATCTGGCCAAACTTCTGGATTTCGGTGTGCCAATACGATTGCCAGTATGATTGTCATACCTTTTGGAATCACATAGTCACCTAAAGTAAGAATAGAAAACTCATGCACACATCAAAAACATACATCTTTCTTTTATACTTTATGTCGGCAAACGTTTTGTTATTCATACTACTAGTGTTTTTTAGGCTGCTTTCCTTTTAGGAGACACAGTCGACACAAGAGTCATTCTATCTTTGTTTCTCACTGAATACTGAACGAAGACAGAATGACTTTTGTGTCGACTGTGTCTCCTAAAAGGAAAGCAGCTTTAATTATTCAGTCGTTGAGTTGTAATTGTATTCTTTAAAAGTCTTGAAAGATACTTCTGAAGATACTTTTTTGCTTATACTTACCTAAGTTTACATCTTCCGTTAATTCTCTGCCAATCATAGGCACACTTGGATATATTCTGAGCGTTTCTTTTATGACTCTGTCGAGATATTTTAATTGCGACAAATCCTTTATGGTTACCGGCGCGTCCAAATCTTTGAAAACTTCTTCTAATTCTTCGTGAACTTTTTCTTGATGTTTCGGACTGTTGCCCAGACAAAACAACGTCCAGGTTATTGCTACCGCAGTTGTGTCATGGCCCTATTATTAAATTGTTTTTTACACTACCATTGTATAAGTGTATATTAAGTAAATAGTTATATACGATAGTCGCCTATTAAGCCCCTTGCACAATGGAAGGAATAGCGATAGCGATAGAAATAACACAGTTTTTAACACAGAATTCCAACTCGTCGAAAATTTTATCGCTATTGCTTATTCCGATTTTCTGATCTGCATTGATACATGTGTAGTTTTGTATGGTAGATTCCGCTGTTCCTACCTTTATTTTTAAATATAAACTCTTTAAAACTTTTGTTATTTCTATCGCTATCGCTATTCCGTCCATTGTGCAAGAGGCTTTAAGCCCCTTGCATAATGGAAGGAATAGCGATAGCGATAGAAATAACACCAGTTGGGGGACGTTGCGACAATTGCTGTAAATTTTATAGGTACGTTACTTGTATAAAATTTCATATTAAAAATATCGAACTCAATTAATTTTTCTTTTTCTCACCTCGAACATAAACGTGTCGACTTGCGCTCTCACTTCGTCGTCGGTTAACGGTGTGTCGCTCTTTTCGTTCTCATCCAATAATAGATCTAAGAAAGCTTTCTTCCGCTTGACTGATGAATAAATTGTATATTTAAATAAAAACTAATTGTGCAAATTACTAGTAAAATACATTTAACAATAATTTACCACACACCATCATCGATATTTTCCAGATTATCATAGTCGTTTTTCAATTGCCGTTCAATCTTTCGTTTCTTTATTATCTAAAATTAGTTATACTTGCTATGAATTATTGTAAACAAACACGTATACTTTATTGAAATATTACGCGTATTATTTGGCATACCGATCTTGTAAATTCATGTAGATCATTCAACGTTGCTTTATATTCTTTTCCAGTTGGTGTTAAATAATACAACGAATCCAACATATACCATGGTCGAAGGAATCGATTGATTATCATTTTGGAGACTCTAAAAGTTAAATTAATGAATATAACATCTTCTTTAAAATTGCAACACCAATTAATTATAATATTATTGTGTTAACAATATAACCGTAATAGAAGATATTTTAGACTAACTTATGTACTGTTGAAGTATACTTGGTATTATCTTCTTGAGCATGTACATTCACACCCATTGCAGTTTCTAGAAAATATAATAAATAATAAATATAATAATTATTATTATTAAAATATATAATATAATAAGTAATAATTGTTAAAAAAAAAGTTGGGAAAAGAAAAATTCTATTACATTTCTGTGTTCTAATAAATGTTTGTAAATAATCACGGAAAATACAGTTTTTATGAGTTACTTGTTAGTTTCACTAAAAAAATCGTTTTGTTATAACACCGAGTACTTCGGATATAAAACGTGATCTATAAAGTCTACATAAGTTTCTGATTTTTTGCACAAATATCTTCTAATTATATATAGTTTTTCAATTGGTGTTACTACTTTATTATTATTATAATATATATCACGTCTTTTGTAGAATAGATTTTATAGATAAGTTTGTAGTATATATTATAATTATAAAACAAACAAAAGTTTACTTGGCGTTACTTTTTGACATCACTTTTTTTGTAAAACAGATTTTTTAAGTAAAGAATTTTTTGTAGTGTTAAATCAATTTTTAATTTATTATTACACTTTAAATACAATACGTGTTGTGCGTGTACTTTTATTGTTGCACATATAAAAGATAGTACATATATATTATTAAATAATATATGCTGCATACTCACCACATATAATATCAAGAGTCACGTTGATAGAAAATGGAAAAATATTAATTGGTTTTGTTGGATTTTTTTCTATCTCTTTTTCGAGACATTTTGTTAATATCTTCGATTTTTCATGGAAGGTTTCGACAAACTGTTCTAATATGCTAAAATGGAATGTTGGCCCAATAAGTTTCCTGTCGTGAAACCATTGTAATCCTGTTTAACGTATAATTTGTAACATATGTGTTACAAGAAATGTTTTTAGTTTAATTATTTTAAATTTTAATATTTTTTAAATATATGTTATAAGAAAAAATATTTCTAAATTTATCATTTTTAAATATAAGGTTAAGACTATCTTAAAATAATTAAGAAAATTAAGATGAAAAATTATGTACACATTGTGCGTTTACCTGAAGAGGTAAGAAGTCCATTCCCCAACCAGGATCTCAGCAGGTGATATATCGATCCTTTCTTAATATTTGTAGTACTAGGAAATATTATCTGTATATGGACAAAGGTAAAATGAAACAACTCGTGTGGCAATACATAGTTTCTCATGCATAGTATATATCCATACAGACATAATATAGATATTTACTCTAAACGTCTCTATGTGACGTCTAATCAAACATCTAACAACAATTTGTATAGAATGTTGTTCCGCGTGTGTGGATATACACATGATGTAAGAAGATGAGATTTTTCATTAATTAAGTTATGCATTTGTCATCATATAAAATATAATGACTGATTTGACTGTTATAGCTATTATTTGCATCACTTACCTCTAAAAATTCTGGTTTAAATATATGTATTATCGGCGAAGGACCGATCCACTGCACAAATATTCCTTCTTTGTACTCATTAATTTGCGATAATATCCATTTCATACGTTCTGTACAAATGATACTAAATTTATTTATACCAATTTAAAATAAATAAAGTTTTATATTTTGTATTTTTGTACGTATATATATATATATATATGTATATACATATATATGTGTGCACACTTATTACTAATTTAATATTTATAAAAAAATTGAAATATTTTATTTGCTAAAAATAAAAATATTTTTATTTTTTAATATTAAACGTTCTTTACCGTAGTCTGGCTTGTTTATTAATTTAAATATTACGCCGATGAAGGGAAATCCGGAAATTTGCGGAAAGCGCTTGAGTTTCTGTCTAATAGTGTACTGATTATACATTGCCGATATAATTATGAAAATTATACCTATGCTCAGAGTGCTTAACATCAAAAAGATGAGATACATTTTTGTATATCCTGCAAACATTTGAACAGTTTAAGTTACTAATTAACCCTCGGAGAACACACTGAGTCAATTTGACCCTGTTCGTCGACTTTGATCAAAATATTTTGCTTCAATTTTGCTTTTTTGTAACATATTTTTTACAATGTTAATAATGTTAACGACACTTTAAAACTATATAGGCATATTCCAAACTGTTCAAAATATATCCGAAAATTTTTTCAAGCCAATCGGATAAGTGCATTTTAAATGGTAGCATCTCAAAAAGTGGACAGGGTCAAATTGACCCAGATTGTTCTTCTTGATTGAAAAAATAGGTGTGTTCCCCGAGAGTTAAATGCCAAAATTTCCACATTGAAGAAAAAAGCGGATTATAATAAAACACTCACCACCAGATTTTTTTAAGTAATAATTATATACACACTATAAAGTCACACACTTAATATTCGCAAATGTAGAAGATGCTCTGGTTATCGTATTTTATTTTGTATCGGAAACATTACACTTTTTTAATTGTTTACGTTATTTGCTATATAATTAACCGTATAATTCTTATAAATTACGTTTATTGAATGTATTGCACAATCTGCAATGTCATGCGACAGACACAGTTATTGATATATTGTTGTTCCAACAATTGCTCGTGCGCATCTACTTCGTCTCTTCTTGAGACTTGAAATATATATTCTCAGAATGAGTCAGCTAAATTCGTGATTTTATCACAGAGTACTAGTACTCATGCAGTGTGTTATCTGTTTTAAAATGCTACTATCAATTTAAATGTATCGCTCCTCGATGTTTTTGCTGCAATCGCGCGCGGGGGTTTTTGTAACATTCAGAAAACCAACAAAATTAGCATTTTGTTATTCCATTATCATTTAACTACTACAGATAACAGACGCTTGTTTACAATACACTACAAGCTACAACAAACTATCTTCTTCTTTATGTAATAACATGGAAATTTGATTTGATGGCCTCGCCATCGGATATTACATGCAACTTCACCTTCACAATTATCATTATCAAGCTATTAATTATAGTCGTAATCACACTTCTTTTTCTCTAAACCTGGTATTATTCTGAAGGTATTATTCCACCAATTTTTATTTCACGCGCTCAGAGTTATGTAAACAATAAGTAATTTTCTAAGAGTGATGTACTTGATAGATTGCAGAAACGTGCACATTTGCTTTCACAGTTAGCTTGTGCTCATCAAACAGAAATCTCATTCAGAAATCTTTTAGATATTTTTTCTTATATTAAACACCGCGCGCGATTATCGCGACACACGCAAAAATGTAATAGAAGTCTGTTATTTTATCATTTTATCATTAGTTATTTTTATGTGAAAAATATGCAGATTGTTGCAAGGTTTAAAATGCAAACCATATATATGGAAATACGAGTGTCATGTCGCCTTTGTTTAAATGATAAACTTCCAACTGCTATCAAATATATAAATAGTGTTATTAACTTCAGATTATGTAAACGTAAAATAACATTGACATGAGTTGTTCGAGTCTAGTCTTAAGTACTATGTTATTTCAAAGTTCTTTTTTTTGAATTATGAATCAATATAAATTTTGTAAACTGTTTTTACACACACACACACACACACACACACATATATATAGCACTCCACAAATTTCAAAACATTAGATAGCTTTTCAAAAACAAAAAACATAGTTTTTATTAAAAATTGTATAATTCTTACTTATATATAAATTGCAACTATATCGCAATGTTATAAGATGTATTTTGATATAAATATGACGAAACATTAGTTATATATATCACTTTAATTGTTGTCGAACCAACGCGGTTCGATGACATTACATTTAACAGGTGGCAAAGTAATCGGCATAGTCGATGGCAAAGAAGTAGGTAGAAATTCTCCGGGCCACAGATGAAGAGCGTCTACAAACAGCAATCCGAGCAGGATACCGCGTAACAAAGGCGCGAAAATACTCGAGAGTCGACTTCTGCTGGTTTTTTGCGGCCAAATAAACACGAGTCGAGAATCGCCTGTATTGTGAAACATGCGAGAGTATGACAAGCGTGACCTGGATTTTCTTAGATGATAAAACGTCTTGTGCGTTTGACCTGTATTGCGACGATTGATGGATGAGTTGACACGATGCGGGCATACACCGGCCGGCGCGCTGAAAACTCCATCGCCGATGTAAGTCTTTCTTTTTCGATAATTGAAAACACGACCCCGACTCTGTAATGCGCGACATGCGAATTTTTCTTCCCAATTCGTGTAGACAGATCCGGTGAATGTGCTGCCGATGCTCTCCTGAAGAGAAGCGCTTGTCACAGTGACTAGCGAAAAGTCGTCATCGTCTTTATCTCGGCGCGTCGTCGGTTCGTTTAATCTGCTGTGTAAATGTTAATTTTCTGTTTTTTCTTAAGATAAGTCACTATCTTCATTATTTATTATTTAATTTATATGAAAAATGTATATAAGAGATATATTTTGTGTTTCAACTATATAAATAACAAAAAAAAGAGACGTCTTAGTACTCTCATAGATCGAATATGTGAGTAGTTGCTACACGAGATAAATGAGATGATACAATAATTATTGTACGCAGAAGTGCGCGTACGTGTTTGTTACTACGTAGATAAAACGTATGGTTCTAAAAATGTAAAACTTCCCGAGTTATTCTCTTATCATATTACAAGCAATATTGAGTAGTTTTAATCCCGTACTGATTGAGCCGAGTAGCAATTTCGTTTTGGTTCACTTGGCACTTGATGTGCTCCAGATTTCAGATATTTCAATGATCTTCCGTTTGATGATTCAAACCAACTATTAAGTCTCTATATCATCCTTGCATATTTACACGACATGATAATTAACTGTAAACGATAGTTGACAGACAGAAAAGAGAACTTGCCGAGAATATGATTGCGTCCTTCATATTTTGTTTGTTTGCTATATTCGATTTTGATGAATAAAGGTTTATTCACGTTTATCGCTAACTGTTAACTGACTGATATTATCAACAGAAGCTATACATTGCATATACCGCATTCAACTTAAAATTGTCTCAATGTCGCTTTCGGCAAAAACAATTTAGTTTTTTTTCTAAATTCTTTGTAACTCAAAAAATTGCGAGTGAAAACATTTGGCGAAATTAACGCCCGTACAAGCAATTTTATCATTGTTTGTCAAAAAACTTTAGTAGATATTTCATTAGGTTTCTTATTTTTAAAATGTCTTCCAAAACTAGTAAGTAACCTACATTTAATTAACTTAATCATTTTCTGAGCGCGTTACTATTAATTATGTATTAATTAATAATAAAATAAATATATTATCAATTGTTGAAACATTTCAATTAAAATTAAATTAAAAAATTGGCATTTGCTTTATCAACAACAAGCTCTTGTTTCACCATTGACGACTGTTGCAACAGTTATCGAAGAACGTCGATGTGACCTAATCGGTCGCCACAGAGAACTCAAAAATAAACTTACTACGATGGAACGTTCCATCCCGGTTTTGATGGCGTATAAAATGTGGATGACCGATCGAAACTGTCACAACACATCCTCTTATTGCAAAGTGCAAGAAATCATGAAAAAGTTCTCGCCACAACTAGATCCCGCCGATAAACTCCTTGATCGACTCAAGAGCACGGTCAACAATCTTCATCAGGAAACGACACAGTTGCATGTACGGCCTGATTGACATTCGACGATAAAAATCTGGGTAAATTTTGTCAAGTGTTTTTTCGACACAGCTATGATTTTGCGATTTTAATACGTATTATCATAGCTGTATAAAAAAATTTCTGATAATTCAAGGTTCCAAAGGGTTACGAATAAATCGAGAGAATAGACGAAGATTAAAATTCGCTGTGAGTTTAACTTTTTAAAGTTAAAATGTCGATCTCATTGATGCAGGATAAGATCATAAATGCGGACGTGGAATTGGAGGAAGCTGACATGGAATTGGAGTCTTTAGAGTTTGCTAACAAAGAGTTGGAACAGAATCTGACCGAATTGCAACATGAAATACAGAGACACAAGACACTTAGCTTACACTCCATTCACTCTGAGGATTTAATATGTCTAAAGAAAATACGTCAACTCGCTCAAGAAGAATTGAAGCTGAAGACGTATATCAAAGAGTTGGAAAACATAGAGGACATGTATAGACGACAAATGAACAAAATGCTGTCTTGCAAAGAGTTACAGCGCGATAATAAAAGGACAACAGAATGCATGCAAAAATTGGAAGATGGTAGCAAAGAGCTACAATGTCCGCTTGATGTTTACAATAAACATAACGTAACAAGGCAGATTTATGCTTTTAAAGATAAGAAACAAGTGAGTAGAAAAGATGTACATAATATCTGATTTATTTATGATCATTTTCCTTTCTATATCATTTAACTTAGATTTGTTGCTCGTGTACAACATCAATAACATTAATCGATTGCAAGGAAACGTCAAAGAGAACAAAAGCGCGCAAAAAATATTCGTCGCTTCCGTATTGTGTTCCGCTGATTGTTCATGCGTCGCGCACAGCTACGAATAAATCGCGCGCTTGCGAACTATGCTGCAAATATTGCCGACAGATTTCTAGTGCCACACTCAAATCCAAGTCTCCCTGTTTAATAAATCATCTTTGCGAATTTCCGCTCAGCGTCGCCTCAGGCATGTATTCACTAAAGTACTTGTCAAAAACTTTAGTTATTTTAAGCTCCTTCTTTACATTTAAACGCAAGTTTGCGCAGATCTTGTAAAATTGACTAATTACATAGTCAAATTAGAGCCAATCGACTAACGTGATTGGTCAATTTCACCTGCAATTTACGTCTAATGTAAAACGGGCTTTGTGTGTAATAATTTACACATGACACACAAGGACATATATTTCTTTCTATTATGTAAAAATTATCGTGCAAAGTTTGTGTATTTGCGTTTTTAGATGTACTGCAGTCATCTAAACAAATGACCCTATCTTCCGTACCATGTGAGTCCGATAAAACATGTAACGAGTGTGAAATTGCGACTGCATGCAAGCATATTAATAGTTGCAAATGCAATTGTAAAAGAATATGCGCGAGCAAATTGTCTACTTTACCGTGCGATTACAGCGTTATATCGTTAAGCAAAACTTATCAATCGACGGAAGTAGACAATGGTAATAGTGACGAAGAATTTTGCGAATGTTGTTCGTGTGGTGACGAAAGTAGCGAAAATTTATTATAATAATGTAATTAATGTCTAACATTTATCGATTGACAAAATGCTCACTTTTTAAAGGTTTAAATATTATAAAAATTTCTTTATTTAAATACTTACGCATATAAATTTTGACTTAGTTTTATTTTATTCAAAAATTTGAGAAATGAGAACATTAAATTTACCAGTTTTTGATAAAGTTACTTGAATTGATTTATCATGTACAAAAATATCTTCTCCATAAAAATATAGTGCTTACAAAACAATGAAATAGTGTGCTTTTTTGTAAAAATATATAAATATATATAAATATATATACACATATATACATCTGTATATATATATATATATATATTTGTTCGCTAAGTGAGTATCCTAATAACTTGAAACACGTTTAAACAACTTTACGATGATAACTTCTAAACTGCAAGAAGGTAGGGATATATTTTTAGTTTTACGTAATTTTCTAAAGCAATGGGAAAAATATATAAATTTTTGCATACATCTAATATTGTTTTATACCGAAAAACTTATTAAAAGTAACACACATACACAGCATTATATATATATATATATTATATCAGATATGAAATATTATCTCTACTTTTATATTATCTCTACTCTTTCATTTAATTGTTTAGAACGGAATGTTGAATGGGTAATAGGGACTGGCGGTTGCACTGAAAATAGAAACAAACCACGAGATAGCATTAAAATAATAAAATATCCACATATCTGTTTTTATGTAACAAAACAAGTAGCAATAAATCCTTACCCAATTAATGGACAAATTCTTCCATCGCAATCAAAGGTATCGATATATTCAATATCTTCAGGAGAAAGTTTAAAGTCAAATACTTCACTGTTTTGAACGATTCTCGATTTAGTAACAGACTTGGGAATTACTATGTGGCCGCGATCCAACTGAAAGTTATTATTAGACTTTCACATCAATATGTTTAGTCGACCGTTATTATGTATTTCTCATCAGAATGTAATTTAAATATTTTTCATTATTGTCTTTTAACATATTTAATTTATTGAAAATTTAGACTTCAAGCGAATATACCTGATAACGTATGAGTATTTGCGCGGGAGTCTTGTTATATTTCTTCCCGAGTTCACTTAATTTCTTATCTTCTAGTAGCTTTGGATCATCTGGCTTGGCCCACGGCCTGTCTGGCGATCCGAGTGGACTATATGCTGTAATAAGAATGCCCTTTTTCTTGCAAAAGTCCGATAGTTTTTTTTGCGTTAAGTACGGATGGCACTCGACCTAAAAAACAAAAATAATTGCAACAAAAATTAGATACATCTTGTTTTTAAGACTTATACATAAATTTTTCAGGTAAGTTCTTTCAATATACTCAGTTTTTATTTACCTGATTTGTTACAGGTTTAATTGTTGCATTCTGAAGTAGTCTGGTAATTTGCTCAGAATTAAAATTGCTGACTCCGATATTTTTGGTCAGACCTTTAGACATCACACCTTCCATAGCTTTCCAAGTATCGACGTAGTCTACGTCACTCAAGATTGGAGTACCATCAGAATTTGTAGGAAAAAGGACCTCGCCTTCCTTGTAACCGACCGGCCAATGAATCAAGTAGAGATCTAGATAATCCAGTTTCAGGTTCGTCAATGTTTGTTTAATAGCCGGTTCTACCAGATCGGGTCTGTGGAAAGTATTCCACAGCTTGCTGGTTATGAACAGATCTTCTCTCTTTATAACACTTTCCGCGATTTTTACTTGGATCGCTTCACCGACTTCCTTCTCATTACCGTAAACATGAGCGCAATCAATATGTCTGTAGCCGATATCGATAGCATCTTTCACTGCTTGAGTGACTTCTCCTGGCTTAGACTGAAAAAACCAAATTAAATTTACAGGTTTTTGGACAATGTTTTAATCCCGAATTTCAGTTTTTTCTCAGTTATTAAAAATGTTGTAAATAAAAAAAAGAATTTTAGACAAAAAGTTATTTAAAATGCAATGTCTATTTTATACATACATATATATATATGTTTTTTTTTTCATGTAATATAATATAAAATGTAATTATCATTGTTAAAACTTAAACTTCTATGTATCACTTATGTGCTAATTATAGTCATACAATTAGTACCAGTGTATGACGTATCATATGCTGATAAGAAATATAGAAGCAATAATATTGCGCAAAGTAATACTATAAAAACATAGTATAGAATATTTGCTCTAGTTGATTAATATACGGTAGAATCTCATTTTTATTCAAATGAACTTTATTTAATATAGTGCTAGATTATCTATAATAAGAGTTTTTGTATTTTATTAATTTACTATCAAATAATTTCGTGGTAACGCACAATAAATATAAAAAACTTTGTTACATTTAACTTGTAAACTGCATTAGAAAAATTTGTATGTCAATCCCGTGTGCAAAAAATACTTGAAGAGCGCTAAACGTTAGGTCATATAGAATCCATGTGTGTCTGTGTATTTATATATGTACGATGAAATTAGAATGGTTTGTTCTGTCTATATATACAGCACGCACAGTTAGCTCCGCCACGTAGACACTGTGGCGTAATCTTCATTTTATTACTTGCAACTGGCATGGAAAGTTCTAGACTTCTGATAATATTATCAGTTTAAGCAAAATATTTTTTACACGGATCAACATTTTTTACAAACCTTCAGTAGATGTTTATTAAATGTTTGTCACGAGGAGTTATGAACATCTATGATTCCATGTAACTCCATTTGTGTCTGTGTGGAACATACTATGTGGATTATCAATACCGCTTTTATCAATATAAATAAATAACAAAACAAAATCTTAATTCTTCGCTTATTTTGATGAGATAAATACTTCTTGAAAATAGAATCTAATAAATAAATATCTTTTGTGTGTGTGTGTGTGTGATGTGTAGTACGTGTGCAGAAATTAAAACTGTATGAACTACGTATGAAAGAGTGCGTATAAAAAAGAGTGAAAATGTAAAAACTCACCTTCCATGTACCTAACCCGAAAACAGGTACTTCGTTACCGTTGTAGAACTTCACTTTCGGTGCGTTCAGAACCATTTTGTATTATGTCACACACTCAGCTGTAGAAGAGAAAGAATACGGGATTTGAAAATTTTTTGAGAGCAAACTTGATCGCTCTTTGTCCGTCTAATCAATCTTGAGTGATGCCGCACACCACAATGTTGACGTAGTCATTCGCCGGCTTCCTTATAAACGTCCCCACTCCCAAAGGGAAACCTCGTTCTTAATGGACGAAATCGATTTTGTTTGAGATACGGACTGTGCGATGATTTGCCGGTAGTAAAACTCATTTGCAAATATGTATATTTTACAATCTTAAAATTAATCTATACGTTTGCAAATCGTTCAAACAATATTACCTATGAATTTGTTTGAAGTTAATCGTTTAATTGAATTTCAGTAATTATTATTCTTTATTAGGAACGTGGGATTATTTTTAATAAATGATAGAAATGCATAAAACCATGTATCGTTATCTTTTGTAAAAAGAATACGATGTTGTGTCAAAGACAACTTGATGCCTCTGTTTGTCAATCCAGTTAATCTGTCTTACGATTTTTGCATAACGGCTATCATTGATAAACCATATTTACATAATATCTATACTTACGCACACACACACACACACACAGTAGCCGGCGATGAGAATAATTCAAACGGTTGTGGTGGGCCGAATTTATACGATGGCAATCCGGCACCGTGGAAAATTACAGCAACCGTTAGGACGTTTAGAGCAATGAATCAGAAGCCCTTGACAACTCCTTGAGGAAGAATAAGATATTATTCGCAGTAATATCGCTTAATGAAACCAGTGAACAAAACAATAAATAAAGATACATGGAAACATTTATTGTGATATACAAATTATAAATTAGTTCTTAATTGATACATATTATTAATTCATTTTTCTCTCTCTTGCTTTCTCTCTTAAACTTCTTTCTTTGGAATAAAAAATAGTAAAGAAAATATTTGATTGTTTTTTGTTTTGTTTTTATTGTAAAAGTGACACAACAGTAGTGAATATAAACATATATAAACATATATATATATATATATACACATATATATTTATATTCATAAATATATGTGTACATATATATTGTTTTTCTTATTTGCTAGAGAATGCAACAAGATTGTGGAAGTAAGTAAAATATTAATTTGAAAATCACGCATTATTGCCTTTAGCAATTTCTAGGATATTCGATTTGTTGAGAAATACATACTACTACTGTATCAATCGTTAAATAAATTTTAAAAATGAAAGTAAAAAAAACGACCGAAAATAATGAATCAAAACTTTAATATATAATTTTGTTAAAAATGGAAAGTCTTTGCATAAAAATAAGTAATTATAATCGCAACTAGATGTAATTTGTTTACATATAAATTGAAACGTTCTTTATTACATCGGAGATGTAATAGAAATAGAGAAAATCCATTGACTAACTTGTGATCTTGACCTTGTAATCTCAGACCTTGAAAATTTTTGTAGCGTCTGATAACTGCAATTGGCTAGACCAAGGGTCGAGCAAGCCTCAAATAGTGTCGTGGGAAGATGTGCGCGTTTAGAAAGAGAGTACTAATATGATTTATATATGTATGTGTACAATTTATTATATATATCGACTTGTTTCCTGTTGCCTTCTGAGTTCGTTAAAGTCTCATCATTCGATCATGACATTTGAGAAATATATTGATATAAATATTTGACAATTAATATTTAAAATATTAATATTAAAAATGTTAATTGTCAAATATTAATTGGCCAATTAATATCTATTAATATTGAACGATATTGTTTTGTATATTATTTTTTTTACTTTTAGGTCTTATACAAGTGATTTATTTAAAAAAGACAAAACGGCAATAAAAAAACGCAAATAAACTGTCAAAAATCAGTTTTAACAGAAAAACACGTTTTAAAATTTCACCGACACAGTTTATATAATTTTATACATCGTGTTTCTTATTGAAAGTCTGCTATACGGACTATAAATGCAATAATATATACCGTTATTTTGTCACTTTTAAGTTAAAATAATTTTAAATTCATTCCGTTCATTGGTGAATTTTTTTATTTAAAATCCAGTATCAGAGTTTTAGTTTATAACGTTGAACCGTGTGATCAAATAATGTGTTAGAAATAATCTTGTGTTTTTTCTCTTAAAATGGAATATTGAAGGGATAGTACTTAAAGTCCTTTGTTCTGTAACATAAAAATTAACATTAATATGAAAATGTTAGAAATAAAGAAACTTCATATGTATAAAACTTATAAGTTTTATGATAAACTAGATTTTTTGTAAAAAACTTATTTCATATTTTCATGCTAAATTATTTCATCATGTGTATAAAAATCGAAGAGTAAAAGTGCCACGTAATGAAGTTTTATCTTTTTTTACAAAGAGTATAGAACAAAATAAGATAAAAGTGCAAGAGATAAGTCCGAACATTATTTAATCTACTTACGGGGCAAATCCTGCCACTCTGTCACCAGTACTAAGTTTTCGTATAGCGTTTATTTCGTCGTTCGTCAATGAAAAATCAAAAATTTCCATATTCTCTTTTATTCTACTTTTAGTCACTGACTTCGGTATTGGCGCAACTCCGTTTTGGTACTATAAAGATAAAATATGTATTCATTTCGTGTAAATTTTAATTTCTTTATACATACATAAAGTAAAAAATATTTTTCTGTGTGTATGTAGTTTTCGTTACTTACCACATATCGAAGCGCTATTTGCGCGGGAGTCTTATTATATTTTTGTGCAATTTGCAATATCACAGGATTGTCTAATTGATTCGCGACGCCTGAGGAATTTCCGGGTTGTCCCAAGGGAGAATAGCCAGTTACCGTAATATTATGTTCTTTGCAAAAATCGACTAGTTTCTCTTGGTTTATATTTATGTTAACTTCAACCTAACAAAATATTTCTCGAGTTAATGAGAAATGTTAACATCATAGTAAATATGTATTTATTTTTCATTAAAAATGAAACTATACATAAACTTCTACTTTATATGGATTAATTATATGTAAATACGTGCCTGATTGTTAACTGGTGCAATTTTCGCTGATTTGAGTAGACGAGTTATTTGCTCGGAGTTGAAGTTACTGATTCCAATGCTACGAGTTAAGCCTTGACGAACGCATTCTTCCATTCCTTTCCATGTTTCTAAATAATCCGTATCTGACTCAATTAGTTTGCCATTATCATCTTGAGGCCACATATTATCTCCCTCCTAAAAAAAAGATGGAAAAGAATATTGTTCCAAATAAATATCATAGAAAAAGAAAACATTTTATTATAATTTAGCTATACTTTATAATAATTATTGTTGCACAATAGTAACATAAACTTATTTTTTTATATTGATATGTTTGATCAAACTTTAAATATTTACAATACTATTTTACATCAGTCGTAACAAATGATGCTTACCTTGAATGCAAATGGCCAATGAACCAAATAAAGATCTATGTAATCTAAACCAAGATTGGTAAGCGATTGTTTGCAAGTTGGAACAACAAGTTCTTTTTTGTGAGTATTATTCCATAGCTGGTGAAATATTTAAAATTACTTTTTTATATTTTCATTTTTATATAAATTATAAAAAATGTGTTTACATAGTGAGATGACTATAAAACAAATGATTGGTTTACGCGACTTAAATAAACTAATAGACAAAACATTAAAAATTCTATGTAAATATTTAAGTTATATTTATCTGTACAGTGATTTCACCTTTGTAGTAACAAATAGGTCCTCCCTTTTCACGATACCATCTTGAATTTTTTCGCAAATAGCTTTTCCGATCTCTTTCTCATTACCATAAAAGAAAGCTGTATCAATATGTCGATATCCGAGATCTATTGCATCCTTAACAGCTCTTTCTACATCTCCTTTTAGCGACTAATTGTTTTAAACGTAAAAAGAAAATAATTACAATCGTGTACTCTTATATAGTTATAAATATACTTTTAAAACTTTTTATTTTCAAATTGTATAAAAGTCACAAGTATAAGGTTCATTAAGTATGTTTCTACTTAAAAAAAAAACAAAAAAAACCATCTACAATGGAATTGTTTTTAGTATCTCTCTCTTTCTCTCTTCAAATCATGGTTTGGTTTGGTGCATATGTGGCTCAAAGGACCGACTCAAGATAGTCCATACGCCATTCTAAGCTTGAATAGTGATTTTCTTGGTATGTTCACCGTAAACGGTTGAATGGTTGATTTCTCCAACTGGAGTAACAAAGTACCCCAGAGAACTGCGCAGATCTAGGGTCTTTAAAAACTACCAGAT